CATCAATCCTCCCTCTCTGTCACTGGGTTCCTTGAGTTCAGCTCAGTGTTTAGCTGTGGCTGTCTACCTCTGCTTCCATCAGTCATTGGTTGAAGGTTCTGTTTCCCAGACTCTCTGGCAGTAGGATTGTAGGCTGGCACTCCCCTGATCCATGTCTAAAATCCATATATGAAAGAGTACATGCCATGTTTGTCTTTTTGAGACTGGGTTACCTCACTCGGGATGCTTTCTTCTAGTGCCATCCATTTGCCTGCAAATTTAAAGATTCCATTTTTTTCTGCTGAATAATACTCCATTGTGTAGATGTGCCACATTTTCTCTATCCACTCTTCAGTTGAGGGGCATATAGGTTGCTTCCAGGTTCTGGTTATTAAAAATAATGCTGCTATGGACATAGTAGAACAGATGTCCTTGTTGTATGAATGTGAATCTTTTGGATATATGCCTAAGAGTGGAAATGCTGGGTCTTGTGGTAGCCGGATTCCCATTTTTTGAGGAATCTCCATACTGATTTCCAAAGTGTCTGTGTGAGTTGGCACTCCTGCCAGCACTGGAGGAGTGTTCCCCTTTCTCCATATCCTCTCCAGCATAAACTGTAATTTGTGTTTTTGATTTTAGCCTTTCTGACAGGAGTAGGATGGTGTCTCAGAGTTATTTTGATTTGCATTTTCCTGATGGCTAGAGATGTTGTGCACTTTCTCAAGTGCCTCTCAGCCATTTTAGACTCCTCTGTTGAGAATTCTCTATGTAGTTCTGTAGCCCGCTTTTTAATTGGATCCTTTGGTGTTTTGGAGACTTGCTTCTTGAGTTTTTTGTAAATTTTAGAGATCAGGCCTCTGTCCGATTTGGAGTTAGTGAATATCTTTTCCCATTCTGTGGGCTGTTGTTTTATCTTGCTGACTGTGTCCTTTGCCTTACAGAAGCTTCTCAGTTTCAGGAGGTCCCATGCATTAATTGTTGACCTCACTGTCTGTGCTACTGGTGTTATGTTCAGGAAGCAGTATCCTGTACCAAGTTGTTCAAGGGTACCTCCCACTTTCTCTTCTAAGAGTTTCAGTGTGGCTGGATTTATGTTGAGGTCTTTGATCCATTTGGATTTAAATTTTGTGCAAGGCGATAGACATGGATCTATCTACATTCTTTTACATGCCAGCATCCAGTTATGCCAACAACATTTGTTGAAGATGCTTTCTTTTTTCCATTGTATATTTTTAGCTTCTTTGTGAAGGATCAGATGTTCATACATGTATGGGTTAATATCAGGTTGTTCAATTCGATTCCATTGGTTTACCTGTCTATTTTTGTGCCAATGCCAAGCTGTTTTCAGGACTATTGTTCTATAATAGAGCTTGAAGTCAGGGATGGTAATGCTTTCAGATGTTGCTTTGTTGAATAAGGTTTTGACAGTACATTTTTGCAACCACTTTGTAGAAGTCTTTTAAGAGTCTTCTGCAATGCTTACTTCCTGGTTACAAGATGCTTTTTACTTTGCTCCTATGTAGGCAAATTTTATTTCCAGCTGATAGTAAAGGATGTCTTTGATGGGTATGGTAATATTATTTCGAAGTTATCTGCCAAGTGGAATTGAAAATATTCCACCATTTCAAGCACTATGATTATTTTATTTTTCTGAAAGTTTTGATGACACTATGCTGCAGCTTCTATTGCAAGCTGCTGTAGTACTTTTCCCACTGTCCTTTTAAGCATTCTTTCTCTGTTCTGTAGTGATACTGAGTTATCTTGGGTTTGGCCAATTTGTAGCTCCAAATACCTTAAATACTCTGTCCTCAACTCTTTCTTTAGATATTATAATTTTTCTGCCATAATTTTACTAAATAGGCTTTCTACACTGTTAGTTCGTGTCTCAGACCCTCTTTAGAATTTAGGCTTGGTCTTTTGTAAATGTTCAAGAGTTCTTGAGAAATTGTGGTTATAATTTTTATTACCTTTATGTTTTCTGAAATTTAATAGCTCCCTCTTTTGTCTTGAAAAATAAGCACAGTCATTTCTTTGCCTTATATTTAATACTAGATATCATTTCTGTCATTTGCTTGAAATATTGGCTGCATTTTATTTATTGATTGTTTTATTTTTTTCATCTTTTTTATTTTTTTATATTTTATTTTCCAGTTTAAATTTAGATAAGAAACGAGGTTGCTTCACAATTCAGTTCCAGGTCCCTCTCCCATTCCCTCCCCTCCTCCCGTGCCCTCCACCAACCCTCCCCCCCCCGTTATCCCCTCATTCCCCAAGGGAGGGTGAGGCCCTCCATGGGGTTGTCCATAGTCTGTCATTTCATATAGGGCAGGGCCTAGACCCTTCCCCAAGAGTTCAGGGTGAGAGTGCACCTCACATTGTTCTATGGGAGTCCAAAGTCCGTGTGTATACTTGGGATGGGTACTGATCTGCTGCCCAAGGCTCAATAGATTCCCTAGGCCTCATAACTGACACCCAGATTCAGGGGGTCTTGATCAGTCCCATGCTGGATTCCCAGGCTGATGCCTGGGATTCAAGAGTTAACCTTTGTCTGGTCAGCTGTTTCTGGGGGTTAAACCAGCCCAGTCTTGATCCCTTTGATCATCAGTCCTCCCTCTCTGTTACTGGCTTTCTTGAGTTCAGCTCAGTACTTAACCAAGGGAGTCTGCCTCTTCTTCGATAAGCCACTAAATAAAGGTTCTGTTTCCCAGACTCTCTGGCCATAGGATTGTAGGCTGACACTCCCCAGATCTATGTCTAAAATCCATATATGAGAGAGTACATGCCATGTTTCTCTTTTTGTGACTGGGTTACCTCACTCAGGATGGTTTCTTCTAGTGTCATCCATTTGCCTGCGAATCTCATGATTCCATTATTTTTTTCTGCTGAATAGTACTCCATTGTGTAGATGTATCACATTTTCTTTATCCACATAAATGAGATAATTACTCTGAAAAGAGGAAATAGTCAAGGGCTTCTACCTCTTATCCAGTCTTTGAAAATAGCATCTATATTTTGAACTTATACTGTCATCATTTAAATAGTTAATGTGCTGAAGTGTCCTGATTGATATATACTCACACATTGTACATATAATCAACGATTTTTTTTATTTTACTCTGTGTTTACATGCATTAATATATCAAGGCTTAATTAAAGTACTTAGAGATGCATATACATGACATTTAGATATGGAAGGTAGGAAGTCACATATATAGATGTTTAAATATTTGGGGAATAGTATTTTGTCTTTGATTTTGTAAAGAAAATTATTATAGAGATTGGAATAATAGCTCAGCAGTTAAGATTGCCTAACTGGAATACTCAATTTTAGTTCCCATAAACCATGTCTGGTCTCCAAATTCAGATGTATCTGAAGATTCTTGCCTATATGAGCACATACCAACACACAGACAGACATACACATAATTTAAAATGTAAACAACCTACAAATAAAAGGTTATATTTTTGAACCATATAGTTTGAAATTGTGGTAGCAATATAAATATATTGTGGGCACAATCCACCTCTGTTGCTATTAACCACATAGAGCTGTTGAAATCACCAAATGATTGCACAAAAATAGTAACTGATTTTGAATTGTTTCTAATTTTAATGAATTTAAATTTAAATTTCATTATCATGCTGAAAAAATCACTCATTAAGACAAAAAAATGGGAGCAATAGATATGCTATCCTTCAACTGGTATGTTTATTTGTCATCCTGAGCGTTAAAAACTTGTCTTATGATTGTTATGATTTCATTTAAAATAAACAAAAGACAGTAATTATGTCCTTGGAAATTTTAAACTCATTTAATCTTTATGAAAAAGCAACACAACTCAAATTTTGGATAGACTAAAAACTAAATATATATGAAGAAAATGCATAAATATATTTTTAGTAATTAAAATTTTAATAGCTTGACTGCTGTGTACTTGTCAGAAGTTGAAAATTTAGATATAATTTGCATAAATTTGTAACATTTACTCATTCCTGTGAAATGGTATTATATTCTAGTTTCTCCTTATATAACTCTCATTAAATAATGCTACCTTGTGATATACCTTCACCACTTTTATTCAAAATTCAGTAAGTCTCTTATTTTGTTGATATCAATACCATCTTTAAATACTTTGAAATTCATTGATTTTATTCCCTTCATACATCAATTATTATTATATTAGTTAATTATTTTTAATTACCAGGATATGTCCCATACTCAGGAGAATTCCATGACCAGTTTAGGGGATCATTATTGGTATGCCTACCATAACAGAATTGTTAATCAAGAAATTCTATGAATTAGAATTTTGAAGCTTCGATAATTTAAGCCTTCCTACAATTCCATTTGAATATCATCACAAAAAGTTATTTGCTAATTATCAAATGCTCCTAATTTTATCTTTATTAATTATAATAACCATTATAACTATCAATTATCACATTCTTGTAAAAGATTTTTCATAAAATATACCTCATAATAACTAATAAATTCCAGCTTGCTAATTTCACACTGTATATAAATAAAACATAAAAAATATATTCTTTCCTACAAAGAGAGTAGTAAATTAAAATGTAGACGGATGCTTATTTTCATTTTATTTTTTTAAAGTGTTGTAAAATTAGCTTATTTATATGTGTGAATTAAAAACAAGATAATCAGTTATAGCTTCATTATCATGCAAACGTTCAGAGACAATCCTTTCCAAACTTCTATACTTTTTTTGGAAACGTGAGTAATTTATGTAATAAATTTCATTTAGTATCAAAGATGCTATATATTAAGTGTATTAAAGAACCATATAGCTTGCTTTTGGTTACAATGTTAACTGTAGGGCATGTTGAATTTCAGAACTATAATTTTCTGTTATCTGTTTCAGAGGCTATCCTATTGGCCTATAGATTTTAGAAACTGGAAATATTACACACTAAATGAGTTTTAAAAAATAATTAAAATTTATAATACATGTGGTATTGTATATTAATATAATTTAAATCATATATCAATCCATGTTTTCCAGAGTCAAAATATTTTTGGTCTTGATGTCATTGAAACACCAGAAGGAGACAAGATGCCACAACTGATTGTTCAAAAGGAGTTAGACAGAGAAGAGAAGGATACCTATGTGATGAAAGTAAAAGTTGAAGATGGTGGCTCTCCTCAAAGATCTAGTACAGCTATCTTGCAAGTAAGTGTTGCTGATACAAATGACAACGGCCCAGTCTTCGTAGAGAAGGAAATAGAAGTCAGTATACCAGAAAATGCTCCTATAGGTTCCTCAGTGACACAACTTCATGCCACAGATGCTGACATAGGTGAAAATGCCAGAATTCACTTTTATTTCAGCAATCTAGTCTCCAACATCGCTAAAAGACTGTTTCACCTTAATGCTACCACTGGACTTATCACTGTTAAAGAACCACTGGATAGGGAAGAATCACCAAGCCACAAGCTACTGGTTTTGGCAACTGATGGTGGATCAACACCAGCAAGAGCTATGGTGCTTGTAAATGTAACAGATATCAATGATAATGTCCCATCAATTGACATAAGATATATTGTCAATCCAACCAATGGCACTGTGCTTCTTTCAGAGAATGCTCCACTTAACACGAAAATTGCTCTCATAACTGTGATGGATAAAGATTCTGAACATAATGGTAGGGTGACATGCTTCACAGATCATGAAATTCCTTTCAGATTACGGCCAGTATTCAGTAATCAGTTCCTTTTGGAAACCGCTGCATTTCTTGACTTTGAGTCCACACGAGAATACGCCATCAAATTACTGGCTGCTGATGCTGGAAAACCTCCTCTGAATCAGTCATCCATGCTCCTGATCAAAGTAAAAGATGAAAATGACAATGCCCCAGTTTTCACCCAGTCTTTCATAAGCCTTTCTGTTCCAGAGAATAACTCTCCTGGTGCACAGTTGACAAAGATCAGTGCAACAGATGCAGACACTGGAAGCAATGCTGAAATAAACTACCTGCTAGGTTTTGATGCACCACCTGAGTTTGACCTGGATCGTCGTACAGGCATCCTGACTGCAGTGAAGAAACTAGATAGAGAAAATCAGGAAAAATATTACTTTACAGTCCTAGCACAGGACAATGGAATTCCACCCTTAATGTCAAATGCCACAGTCTTTGTGACTGTTCTTGACCAGAATGATAACAGCCCACTTTTCACTCACAATGAATACAACTTCTATGTCCCTGAGAATCTTCCAAAACATGGCACAGTAGGGCTCATCACTGTCACTGATCTTGATTATGGAGAGAATTCTGCAGTTACTCTCTCCATCGTAGATATGAAGGATCAATTCACTATTGATCCACAGACTGGTGTCATCCGGCCAAACATTTCATTTGACAGAGAACAACAAGAATCCTACACATTCTATGTAAAGGCAGAGGATGGTGGCAGGGTATCACGTACTTCAACTGCTAAAGTAACCATAAATGTAGTTGATGTCAATGATAACAAACCAATTTTTATCGATCCTCCTTCCAATTACTCCTTTGAATGGGTTCCACCATCCACAACTCCTGGTACAGTCATCTTCAAGGTTGTTGCAATCGACGATGATATTGGCATGAATGCTGAGATCCGTTACAGCATTGTTGGAGGGAACACCAAAGGACTGTTTATGATAGAACAAGTATCAGGCAACATCACATTGAAAGAGAAATGTCTTTTTCCAGATCTTGGTTTACACAAAGTGATAGTCAAAGCTATGGATTTAGGACAACCTGATTCTCTCTTCAATGTTATAAATGTCAATATATTTGTGAATGAGTCAGTGCCTAATGCTACACTGATTTATGAACTGGTGCGCAAAAGCATCGACTCACCTGCAACCCAAAGCCCTGAAACAACTAACTCATCCACACCAACAACTGACTATGTCAAGATCGTGGTTGCCATTGTTGCTGGCACCATAACTGTTGTCTTAGTGATTTTCATCACTGCAGTAGTAAGATGTCGCCAGTCACCACACCTTAAGGCTTCTCAGAAAAACAAACAAAATTCTGAGTGGGTTACACCAAACCCAGAAAACAGGCAAATGATTATGATGAAGAAGAAGAAGAAGAAAAAGAAGAAGAATGTACCCCAAAACCTGCTACTTAATTTTGTTACTATTGAAGAAGCAAAGTCTGATGATGCCGACAATGATAGACACAGTGTCACACTAGACCTTCCCATTGAGCTGGAAGAGCAAACGATGGGAAAATACCACTGGAGTACTACTACTTTCAAACCTGACAGCCCTGATTTGGCTAGACACTACAAATCTGCCTCTCCTCAACCTGCATTCCAGATCCAGCCGGAAACGCCCTTGAACTCCAAGCACCACATCATTCAGGAACTGCCTCTTGATAATACTTTCGTAGGCTGTGATTCCATCTCCAAGTGCTCCTCCAGCAGTTCTGATCCCTACAGTGTTTCTGAGTGCAGCTATTCGGTGACAACCTTCAAGACCCCTGTGTCTGTACATGCGAGAATGGTAGGTAATCCAAGTTTCTAAGTAATCTCTCCAATTTATTGTTATTCTTTTCACTTGATATAAGATTATAAAAAGCATTGAGTTCTAGGAAGTGTCCAAACAATCATATTGCACATAATATTCAAATGCTAATAGCAGCTCTCAGTACAAATGGTTTTGTGAATCCTAGCCTCATGAAGGCAAATCTGCAGCTGTCTGAGGTATTTAAATGATACTAACATATCCACTACCTCTTACTTTTGGTGGCATGCCACAACTCTCAGTGATGAAGAGTTTCAATTTCATATCAGGAATTCAAAATATGCTTGTTCATCAAAGCATTTCATGGTAAAACCTTCAGTTTAAGAGGAGGCATGCTCATTCTCATCTTCCAGGCACAGAATTAAATAGGAAAGCATCTTTAATTTAGGTTATCAGTTAAATATTTGCATATTTCAAGGTCCTTCAGGAAACATTCTTTAAAGATAATGACTTTTGGAAAATTGAATATGTTTGCTTTGCCTAATGGGCACAAAGGGAAACAAGAGCACATTAAGAACCAAGAAACCTGTGCACAATAATTTAAAGCCCAATACATTTCTGAAAACAAGAGTTTATACTGTGCCTTTTAAATTAGTATTTCAGGGAGAAATAAGTACAAATTTATGTAGAAATTCATAAATAAATAAATGATTTAAGTAAGTTATTTCCTTAATATAGTTAATGATGGAATTTATCTACATTTTTTCTCTAAAATTCATGCTACTTTTGGTTTTATTGTAACCTCCTTTGCTGTTAATAAACGTTTTATTAACTTATTCAGGCTTAATATAATTATTACAAGATGAAAAATATATTCCTTTTCATTGAACGTTAGAGATGCTAAAAGAAGTCTGTCATGTTCAAGAAAACAGTACAAATAATTGACCTTGATTTGAACAACAGTTTGAATACTGAAGATCACTGAGGGCATATACAATTAAAACATAGAGTGATATTAATATTGATATTTTCTCTTAAAACACACTGAAGGTAAGGTATTAATTTAACACTAGGTCTGTTTTTATTGCAATAGACCCAGCACTGCAGGATTCCTACTGTGCTTTGAAGTTAGAGTGGTTTTACAATTTGGATGAGTACCAAGATTCATTACATCAATGACAAATGTATTAGATAATTAAGATTTCCATAGTGTGCTTTTGCTTATATTTATCCATTCAAGAAAGACCTCTAGTTTTTTGCTTATTACTACTATTATTCGATTTTATAGAATTATTTCTTCAAAGAATATTTATTATCAGTAGCACTTTAATACTATTTTTTTTCTCCAAGTAATTTTTCCTGAGCTCAGCCTACTGTTTGTGAACTGCACTTGCAATTCATAAATGTCAATAGATTGTCCCAAGAAATTAGCAAAGCAATATTGTACATGACTGTTTTTAAGAGCACAGAAATAGTCTCTGCATATAAAAATTTTAATTGAGTATGTACACATAAACTGACACAGATACAAGGAAAATGCTGTATTTTCTGGATATGCTTATCATATTTTTGTTATTTTATAATTTCTCAACTTAAATTAAAGTTAAAAACTTTCATAGAACAATATTATTTTTCATAGTAAATCTAAGTATTACATATCCTAATCATTACAGAAATGCCTTAGTGAGTTGGGCAAAATATAAGGAGTGCCACTGAAAGTGAATTGAGTTATCATTAGTATTTAACTAACTGGACAGTCTATCCTAGAATCAATTGATTTTTGTGATTCTTTCACAACTTAAAAATTAAATCTACTCTATACTTTATGTCAGTAGTCACCGTTACATTATTTCTTTAATGGATATCTTCTTCATATGATTGCAACAAAATAACTTATACCATTAAACTTACCTGAATAATTTTATTTTTTCCACCGTTGCAATGTTTATTGAACTTTCTGTATACTCATCAATTTAGAAGTACTGTCAAATGTCTTGTATTCACTTGTATTGAAGAAAGCTAAAGAGATAACTAAGCACAGAAAAAAGGAGGTTATGTAAACATTCACATACAGTCAGTATTATGAGTGGCCAAATAAAATTGAGATGGGACAAGTGTTGTCAGTTTGTAAAATAAAACAAAATCAATGTTCCTTGAGGAAATTCAGGCAAAACTTGATTAAAATATTTCTGCCAGAAAAAGGCAGAAATATTCCAATTTATGTTGCATAAAGTGTGTAACATTTCCAGAGGATGGAATGTGACATTTACCAAAAATAATTAGTCAACCATTTAAAATATGTATTTAGTGAAAAATAGGAGTTTTAGAAGGAATTTTATATTTTAAAAATGAAAACATACATTTCCCTTAGCTTTATTATGACTGTGGTTTTTCGAAAAATGTGAAACATTGGTTATAAATCATTAACGTATTGGATAGAATCTCCTAGAGAAATATTTTGTTCCTGTTTGTCATCGGTTTCCATGTGAATTATGGAAAGAATTTTGTATATTTTAGTAGAAATATAGAGCTTAAATTGAAGAGGAAAAATTCTATAAATAATCTTCTATTAACATCATTAACTGTTTTAGAAGATAATTTTGGTTAGATCATATAAAATTGTAAGGATAAGCAGCTATTTTAGAATTAACTTTGTTAATTTTCATGGAAAAAGATGCATTCGATAAGCACAGTCTTGATGAACATATCTCTCTTCTTCAAATAATACGATAAAAGCAATACATACGAACAACAAATGAGAGACCTAGAATGGACTTACCATTTTAAGGATCTTCTATATACAATTCATTCTCTTTTATATATTTTTTGAGGTAAGCTCTCTCTTTGTAGTATAGTCCTGGCTGTCCAGATCCTTTATTTCCAATATCCTCCACCTAAATGTTCCATAAAAATCGGTTATTTGAATTGAGACACTCCTAAACCTCAAACTTTTACAGATAAGATAAAATATATAAAATATATATAAAAAATATATTCACAGCTCATTGGATTAAGTGCCTATGGAGCAAGGATAAGGACACAAGTTTAGAGCCCAGAATATATGTAAGAAACCATACAATGACACTTGCTTGTAGCACAGAATTGGGAGAGGGCATAGAGGCAGACATTTCCCTGAAGCCCTTTGGTCAGTCCCTATCCAAATTGATGAGCTTCACGTTCATTGGCATATTCTCTTTCACAAAATAAAAGTAGAGAAAATACAGGAAGGATATCTGATGTCACCATCTGCCTTCCACATGAACACCCACTAACATGCATGTGTACCAGCAAACACAAGTGTTCATAACCAAACTATCAATATGTGTGAAACATACGCATGCAGAACAGTGGAATGTTTGGACAGTATCGATTCATGAACAGAAGCATGTTATAGATAAGACATTAGACTAAGTGTGAGATAAAATGTTACTGTTTAATTCAGTAACATTTATTCTTTGCATCAGTATCTTAGCATGTCAGTTACAGCCACATAGCATGATTGACAATGACAGTCCTACAACACAACCATCTGATTTTGATAACATGTTATTTTTCTTACCCTAGACTGATTCCAGGACATCAACTATTGAAATCTGCACTGAGATATAACTTTCTAGGAATAACATAATTTCATTTTTCCCCAAATATTTTAGTGATTTGTGATTACAAAATTTGGCCAAGATGATTAACTTTGTGATTGGTATTTCTTTACAAAATTAAACAAAACAAAAACAACCTAAAAATTAAGTGTCACATAGCCATGAGCTTTCATTAGCTGTAAATTGGCAGCATTAAATTTAAAGATAAATTAACATTTCTGGAAGAAGAAATGCATTGCTATGTTGAGTTTTTCCATATTGCCTTTGTTTGCTTGCTCTTGATGTTAATAACTGCGATGAATGCAATGCCATCTTTGTATAAATACTGGTGGGTAATATATCATTTGTGAAATATGGAATTAATTGCCCCCTGAGATCACTGAAGACTTTAAACATCATCTCTGGGCGTTTGGAAGTGAAGGTGAGCAATTCCTACAAACTACCCTCTGAAAGATATCCAAGGTAAGAAAAAATTGTAAGGAAAACAAAATCATAACTGCAACAACAGAGGATGAAAGAAATCTATAGACCGAGATATTGAAAACATGCATTGCTGTTGTCACTGAGAAAGCTATTAATTTTATGTCTTGTTTTGAAGCAATTGTATGATGTAAAATAATGTTGCATTTTTATGTTTATTTTCATTATACTTTCAATAATTTAATTATTAAAGGTATTTTTGCAGTAAATATGATTCATCACATATTCATTTAAAATGAAGAAAATTCGGTGAAGATTGTAAAATTTTTATACTCCCAATTTTGGTATTTTTTTATTAAGAAACATAATCCCATTCATATGAGAATAGAAACAAAGATTTACAGATAATATTTCAAAATGATTGCACCTGAAATTTGAAAATCTATAGGAAAAATTTGTGGCACTAGAATAACATTAGAATGAGTTTATTTTATTTACCTGGCATTATATTATTGAACATGTACTATTACTCTGAGTAATGTACCTTTAAATATTTAGTCTCTTTTCACATTGCTTTTTGATTAGCTACCTTTTTACAGAAATAATTGGATAGCTCAGAGGTTGTATACTATATATTTTATTTGAGAAATAATGACAGGACATGCTTTTATTATATGGTTTTTAAGAAGTTTATGAGTTACTAACACTACTAACAGAATTAAAACAAAATCACAAAAGCTGCTCATTTTATCTTGGTATAAAATAGGAGTATAAAGACCCAGAGCCATCATGAAACATAAATTTTGAATTTTCTTTCAAATTCTAAATTTTCTATTCACATGGAAAGATGTGAGTAAGTGAATATTATTCTTAAATATGTATATTAAAATTAGTATGTTATATGAAGTGTTCCATAAGTGATGACATATAGAAGAGGTTAGTGCTATATTTATCGTATCAGATTAATATGGTTCTCAGATACTTAATATTTAGGGAGTTGTGTAATTTCTGACATATTTA